AAAGGCATGATTTTGTGTGTGCTTCGGCACCAGAATTATCCCCGCCAAGTTGCAGCTTCATTGCACGGGAGAGTTTCCTGTTGCAGAGGAAAACCCCGGTGCAGGGACGAGTTTCCCACCTTTCTGCAGCTTCTTTTGCAGAGTGCATTGCTCAAGTTGCAAGAGAAATGCACGGTGCAAAAGAGTTCCCAACACCAGTATGCAAATTCGTTCCCCATTATTGGCTAGTTCTAAATTATTCCCACGTGGCAGCTAACGATTGGCCTGTTAGCCGTATAAGAAGCTTGAGCAGTTTCCGCCCAAGCCGAAGAGGACTCCACATCCATCTCGTGGGGACTCTGGATACACGGCAGGGTAATAGAGACCCTGTGTGAGATTCAGAGGAGCTTGGCGACCTGATCCATCGCCCACCTCTTCCCGTCTTCGAGCGCAAATTTTATAAGACGTATCTACGATTTCGACTTTGGTGGCGCGTTCACCCAGAGCATCCGGAGCTCTGTTCCGTGGAGCCTAGCAACCTCCACGAGACCGTCTGTGTTGTCTGTGTCTGTAACCGCAACTCAAGCAAGTTTTCCAGCCTACACCACTGCCATCTCGGTGTAAGTAAACAATCTTTAAAACTACCGCTAAGCGTTTGTGCCTAATTCCAGCTTGTCGCCCTCCCTCTCCAATCCAGCGTGCCCGGGCTGCTAGCCACAGCCCACATGCAGCACGAAAAAGGGCTCGGGTCGCTCCCGGCCCGCACAGTTGTATAAATTTACTGACTATCACGATTCCCTCTCACCACAGGGTGCCTAATCTTCCCAAAATAGTTTTTATCAAGAACAGAAGGGAAACATGCTACTGGCAAAATCCTATTCTAGTAGCACTTTTATGCCCATTCAACTGGTATAAACCCATTTAACTAAGCTGTTGAAATAAACTGTCTTTATAAATAGAAGGCACAAGAAAGCTTAAAATAAATCACGACCACCATTTATCATTCCAATAGCACATTTCTGGTAACTTATTGGTGGCATTGTGGCTCAGCATGTTTGCCTGTTGACCAAAAAAGCCAACCTATTAAATAGGTACTTTGCGTCAGTCTTTCATCAGCCCCATGGGACGCCCATGCCCGCTACAGGGCCGGGAAGTCCGGGTGAGGGTGATCCCCTGCCCTCCATTAATGCTGACTTTCTGAAGGAACATCTTGAGAAGCTGGATACCTTCAAGTCAGCCGGCCCTGACAATCTTCACCCCAGGGTACTCAAGGAGCTGGCGAGCATCATAGCCCAGCCTCTAGCACGGATCTTTGAAAACTCTTGGCGCTCTGGTGTAGTGCCCGAAGACTGGAAGAAGGCCAATGTGGTGCCTATCTTCAAGAAAGGGAGGAAAGTGGATCCGGCTAACTATAGGCCCATCAGCCTGACTTCTATCCCGGGGAAGATCTTAGAAAAGTTTATTAAAGAGGCCATCCTTAATGGACTGGCCGACGACAACATCTTAAGGGATAGCCAGCACGGGTTTGTTGCGGGTAGGTCTTGCTTGACCAATCTCATTTCCTTCTACGACCAGGTGACCTATCACCTGGACAAGGGAGAAGAGATTGATGTCATATATCTTGACTTCAAAAAAGCCTTCGATCTGGTGTCCCATGATCGCCTCTTGGAGAAACTGGCCAATTGTCGCCTTGGGTCCTCCACGATCCACTGGCTGGAAAATTGGCTCCGGGGTCGGACCCAGAGGGTAGTAATCGATGGAAGTCACTCATCGTGGTGTCCTGTGACCAGTGGGGTCCCCCAAGGCTCTGTCCTTGGACCCATACTGTTCAACATCTTCATTAATGATGTGGACACTGGAGTCAGAAGCGATCGAAACCTGGAAAGCCCAACGAAGCCCAGTTAGTCGTCGATTATAGGGAGGTTAATAAAAGATGTCAAGTAAAGCTAGTAAAGTGACCAAAATGCTGGCTTGCATCCATAGATGCTTCTCAAGCAAATCCCGGGACATCATTCTCCCCCTGTACTTGGCCTTAGTGAGGCCGCAGCTGGAGTACTGTGTCCAGTTTTGGGCTCCACAATTCAAAAAGGATGTGGAGAAGCTTGAGAGAGTCCAGAGAAGAGCCACGCGCATGATCAGAGGTCAGGGAAGCAGACCCTACGATGACAGGCTGAGAGCCCTGGGGCTCTTTAGCCTGAAAAAGCGCAGGCTCAGGGGTGATCTGATGGCCACCTACAAGTTTATCAGGGGTGACCACCAGCATCTGGGGGAACGTTTGTTCACCAGAGCGCCCCAAGGGATGACGAGGTCGAATGGTCACAAACTACTTCAAGATCGTTTCAGGCTGGACATAAGGAAGAATTTCTTTACTGTCCGAGCCCCCAAGGTCTGGAACAGCCTGCCACCGGAGGTGGTTCAAGCACCTTCATTGAACACCTTCAAGATGAAACTGGATGCTTATCTTGCTGGGATCCTATGACCTCAGCTGACTTCCTGCCCTTTGGGCAGGGGGCTGGACTCGATGATCTTCCGAGGTCCCTTCCAGCCCTAATGTCTATGAAATCTATGAAAAGGAGGCTGGTTCAAACCCACCCAAAAACACTGACTGAGAAGCGTAGATGATGGGTGGGAACTGAGGTACTTTTTAAATTATGGAATCTCTGTCATTAGACATTTTTCAGTGAAAGGTAGATAAATGTTTGTCCTGGGTAGCTTAGACAGGGATGACCTGCCGTGAACATAGGGTTGGATTAGATAACAGGGCTGTACAAAACTTCAGCAGCCATTTCGTTTCAGAGGTATTTCGGCACCTGAAACACCGAATCTGAATTGAAACAGAAGGCTCCGAAACATCCCTGGAACTAAACAAAAGCATCCGAAACATTTAGGAAAATTTCGGAGTTTCGGAGCTGCACTTGCAGGGAAACAGAAATGAAGAAGAGGGAGGGGAAGAGGGGTGGAAGGACTGCTCTGATATTGACATCTGTAGCTGGCCAGTGTCTGCAATCCGCCCCTGAGGTCCCTTCCAATCCCAGTGCTCTGGGGAGGGATGGCAACCTGCTGTCAGCCGCGCCCAGATCTGGGGGCCTGTGCCCCCCAGAAGGGCTGCGGGGCTGTGCCAGACTCTTCCTGGGGGGCACGGGCCCCCAGATCTGTGCGAGGATGACAGCATGTTGCCGCTGTTGTCAAGTGATACGAGTTTTGCTTGGAACAGTTTGAGGGGCAGTCTCACCCCCCATCCCCGCACCTATCTCCTTGAAACTCGGCAGGCTTCATGCCCTGCAATTTGCATCCGAATCAGGCAAGAAATGACAAAGGTATAGGCATTTTAGCGATTCCCCATTATAGCCTATGGCCAAAACACCAAAACTGTTGAAATGCCAAAACAAATTGGGCTGAATCGAAATGGGACAGTGATCTGAAACACCGAAACGAATCGCTGTCCCTCCGAAACACTGAATCTGAAACCAAAATGAAACAAAGCCGTTTTGCACAGCCCTATTAGATAACTACCTGAAATCCCTTCTAGTTTTCTATGATTCAAAAGATTTTGTGATCATAAAGTACAGTATTCAAAAGATTTTGTGATCATAAAGTACAGCAGCACCTCCAGCACACAGATAGCTATTAAAATACTATACACAACGCTGTAAAACTTTGCATATCATACTAGCATTGCCAGTGACAATTTTATGGCATAGGGACTGTTCTGGGGGGTGGGTGTTTAAAATACCAGTCGCAGCGTGGGAACATACCATTAATCGCAGGTATTGCCATTTTTCGGAAACCTCACCACAGTTCCCACATTTCAGCTGGAAAACAAAGATACAAAACCAAGAATCTTAAGTTGCTAGTAGCGGGGTAATAAGACAGCACAAGTCATTTTCAGACTCAGAAGTCCAGGTCTTTTGCAACTGAAAGACCATGGGACAGCTCCATTTGAAGGAGATCAGGACTGGCATCAGGTATCTATGATCTCAGGTCTGGTAGCTTCAATTGGACTATGATATGACACAAGTTGAAAATCTGCTCTGAGCAACGTGAGATGGAAAAGGAGGTGGCAGCTGGGGAGGGAGCATGCTTGTATGCTTCCCAGCTCCGAGTGCTGCAGTGTGACTTGGGCAGGGAACAAGCCAGGAGCAGACCATACCCGCTAAGTGCTAGGTTGGGCTTTTCCAGCCCTCAGGGGCCGCTTTCTGCTCCCTGCTTGGCAGGGACTAACACACACTACCCCCCAGGATGGGGAGAGCGAAGCAGCAACGCACTGGCCACCCCAACAGCGGGTCCATCTCCCAAGAGATATTCTTCAGGGAGCCACTTAGCTTCAGCTGTTCCCAAGTTATGTTTCTTCCCAAGCGGCCACGTTTACACTGGGAGAAAAATTATGAACTTCTGCACTCTCATGGTTTCTCTTGAGAGAGCAGGGATTCTCCCTCAAGAAATGTAACAGCTTTTTGTCTTCCTTAAGTAAAATTGTTCACGTTCCAAGCCAAATCAAATCCAAATCCGCGAGTCATTCAAGACCCATATGTGGCCCTACTACCAGCAAACATCCTCCACCCCAACTGGGGCTTTAGATGTTTCCAAATCATTTGTAGGGTGTCCTACGTGCAGACCCAAGCCTGGAGGCTTGGGGTTTGGGTGCCCCCAAGTTTTGCTCGCCCTCAGCTGTATTTCCGCAGGAGCACACTGGGACAGGGGGGTCTCCCATTTCCATAAAGTGGGCGTAAAGCCAAGATCTCCCTATGGGAAATGAATGTGGGAGGGTAAGTACACAATACCCGCTGCCAGAAAGGTGGCTATCCCCTGCAACTGGGAAAACCACCTTAGCAGTTGAGGTGTGCCCCCCCCCGCCAGGGAGTCTCTTTCCAGGCCCAGAGTCAGGGCTGCCCTAGGCCCCGCTGCCATCTGTCCCCAGGCAGACTGCGGGAGCCTGCAGAGGTGCACGGCCCGGACAGCGCGCAACGTGTGGGAGGCAGCTCCGGGGCCCAGGATGGCTGCGCACCTCCCCGGGCCAGAGCAGCTCCCTCGGGGGCGGGGACGCTCGAGCCCGGCCCCACCTTGAGGTACCAGCGGAAGTCCTCGCCCACGGGCCGCAACCCGGTGATGTTCTCCAGCGTCGCCTTCAGCTGCAGCCCGATCTTCTGCAAGGCAAGGCGAGGCGAGGCGGGCGGGGTCAGGCTCAGGCTCAGGCCCAGGCCCGCGGCCCGCCCGTCCCCACCGCCCCGCACCTACCCCCATGCCGCCCGCACGCCGGTCCCCGCGGCCTCGGGCCTCTGGGAGTCTCGCGGGATTTGCCGGGGCATTATCGCAAAGGGACGTGTTGCCCTTAGACAAAATGGCCGCCGCCGCCTCCCCCTAGTGTCATGGGACTTGAGGCCAGGCGCTGCCCTTAGCAATGATGGCCGCCACCTAGCTGCTCTGCCGGCGGGGGGGGCGCGGC